TACTACTACTACTACGACGACGACTACTACTACTACTACGACGACTGCTACTAGGACTACTACTACGACTAGTACTACTACTACTACTACTACTACTACTACTACTACCACTACTCCTGCTACTACTACTACTACTACTACTGCTGCTGCTGCTGCTGCTGCTGCTGCTGCTGCTACTACCACTACCACTACGACTACTACTACTACTGCGACTGCTGCTAATACTTAGCTCGTGCCCAGCCGTCCTGGAAGTCTTCCCACGGCGTGGATCAGTTGCTGGCTCTTGTCCGCTTCGCGGACCATGCGTGCCGGTTCCACTACTTGCAAGGTCTGAACCGGCACGGCTCCAGATTTGGGGCTTGGTCACAGAATCAACAACCACCTTCACCACTGCCATCACGAGAACTGAAGCCCCGATTGTTGCCGAAAGCAGTAGAACAGCTTGACAAACGCCTTGTCTTTTGCTTCATACCTCAGAGGTTCTACAAACGGAGGACTCATGGATTACCACGGAACGCCGTGGCATTGCACATCGACTCCAATGCAGCGCAAAGTTTGAGACCCATGCCTCGCGTTAACCCAGAACCTGAACGTGTTACGTCACAGCCACATGCTCCCTTCAGAACGGCGCATCGCAGCATGGCGCAGTGTGTTCAACAAATTTGGCAGACCTGCCAGCTGCCCCGCAACTGTACAAGCCGAATCGTCGCCAGACTAAGGTTTCCGAGTCCCATCACCCCAATTACACAAGAGTGCTGCGGCTGTGGCTGGGTTTGTGGACAGGATCTCAAAGATTGAACGGAGCTTCCACGGACCTCAGATGGTTTAGGGCGGAGGGTGTCGAAACCCTAAACCCTAAATCTAAATCCTAAACCCTGAACCCGAAACGCTGCTACACAACTGTATCCCAACCCTCAACCCCAACAATGAATCCTGAACACCAGACCCCAAACTCATAAACCCAAGAGACCTTCAAAGAAAACCCTAAACCCTAAACCCTAAACCGCGGGTTTAGGGTTTAGGGTTTTGGTTTAGGGTTTAGGGTTTAGGTTTAGGTTTAGGGATATTGCAAAACCTATAACCAATGTTCGCTTAGTCCTTGGCCCCAAACTGCTGGCATCGAAGCTGAGGAACCCCGTACTTTCGCATCTTTTCTTTTCGGCGTTTGGGGCTCTTCCAACTTCGTTCAAAGGTTCTCTTAGGGGTTCTTCTTAGGGCTGCTTAAACCCTAAACCCTAAACCCTAAACCCTAAACCCTAAACCCTAAACCCTAAACCCTAAACTTTTGGTCTAGGAGTCGCCGCGGGGTTTAGGGTTTGGCATTGAGATTGCGGGTGTCCGACAGAGAGCTTCGCAGTCAGGGCTTTGGGTTCAGGGCCCCCCCGGCTGAAACTACGTAAAGACCCTATAAGACCGCGCAGCCCCCTGCAAAGACAACTGTAGACACCCGAAAGAAATGCTTGAAGAGTCCTGGAATAATCTCCTACAACGCGCTGGGGGTTGGGGAGCTTCAGACAATGAGGCAACCCTGACACAAACAAGAGCATCCGTGATTCTAGTAAATTCCCAGGTGCTGTTCCACTGTAGCTTATGATAGTAGAACTCACCCAAGGAATCTTAAAATATGGTATTTCTACCTATTCCGACACCTTTTTTGGGGGGTCTACGATTTTTAGCTGCTTTGCAGTTCGGGTTGGCAAGGGTGGCTATGCAGCCGGAACCACAAATCAGAGGTCTGAATGGCTGATGTAGGGGCCTTAATGACTAGAATAGGGGATTTGGGGCAGATTATACTCTAGTCAAAATAAGGAACTTCTAAGATGGTGTTAGTGACTTTGTTTCCCCCTATACTAGCAACACCATCCCTTTTTAGAACTCATATGTAGCTACACTAAGACTTACCCCAGAAGCTCTTTTTCTGTTTCTTGAGGCCCCAACACTCAAATCGTTGTCAAAATTACGGTCCCTTTTGGGGTACCCTAAAGAATAGGTGCCGTATTCTAATAAGGACCCTAAACCCTAAACCCTAAACCCTAAACCCTAAACCCTAATAAGGACCCAAAAGGGGACCATAATTTTGACATCCACCCAAATGACCGAAGAGACCCGCAAGGGCTCGCGCGGTTCCAGATTTTTAGGGTTTAGGGTTTAGGGTTTAGGGTTTTTTGGGGTGGCGAACCTTTGTTTGGAAGACTGAAGAGCTGCAACAAAGCTCCTACTTGGAGGTTCAGGGGTAGTTCTAGCTGGGGGTTGCCTGACAGGGCTATAAGTAGAACCCATGAACCTCCAACTACTTCCAAGTCTGCGGAATTTCTCAATTTCCGATTGCTCTCAATCTTAGGGCCTTCGATGTAGGGTTCAGGGTTTCTTACTTCCTTACACCGCTCAGCATGGCTTGGTGCCTACACTATGAAACCCAGGAACAGCCCAAGTAGTAATGATAGCAACAGTAGTAGCAGTGGTGGCGGTGGCGGTAGCGGTGGTGAGAGTGCTGGTGGTGGTGGTGGTGGTGGTGGTGGTGGTGGTGGTGGTGGTGGTGGTGGTGGTGGTTGGGGGTGGTGGTGGTGGTGGTGGTGGTGATGGTGGTGGTTGGGGGTGGTGGCTTCTTGGGTTGGTGGGGCCGGATCAGGACATAGTCCGGAGCTCAGCTAGTGCAACCACAGAAGGTCAAGCTAGCGTGGGGTGGTAGCAAGTAGCAACAACTGCGAAACTATAAGACTGCAGCATCACGCAACGCAAAATGGCAAGCCTATGCCAGTGCAATCGGCGATGCCCTGAACAGCAACACAAAAAACTTCTTGGAGTCGGGATGAGGGCAGACGGAGCAAGAGGATAAGCACAGTCATCACTTTGGGTATCCCTGAATTTGGGGGGGAGGGGGGGGTAGGTCTTCCCGGCCAGGAAAGAGAGTGCTTGAGAGATTGAGAAACAACCCATGATGTGAGCGTCGACATGCCGCACTACTGCTTGCAGCAGGTGCAGCATGTAAAACGGGCAACGAAGCCTTAAAATCGGCACCGTTCTGAGCTGCATCCTGAACGAACACTCTTTAGACTTCAGACTCAGCCGTTTAGGGTTTAGGGTTTAGGGTCCCGAGCCCGATGATGCCAACTCGTTCTGACCTGGAAGGCAGAACAATGAAACTTGGTGAAACGATGCAGGACGACAGGAGAGACGAGTATGTAGAGTATAAGAGCTAAAGGGCAGTATAGAGACGATAAGCGCAATCTATTGCTAACCATTCCGACCCACACGTGTAGTTGTCAAAATTATGGTCCCTTTTGGGGTACCCTAAATAATAGGTGCCGCATTATAATAAGGACCATCATTTTGACAACAACCCACATAGTAGCCGCCTGGTGTCCTAGCACTCGGTGAGTTGGTCCCTCGCACTGGCAAAGCTCACGGCATGAAAAACGCGTAGACGGGGAAGTCCATGTTATCCAAAACACTCCGCTCCCAGCGACAACCGTTTCCTGAGCTGATGATTTATGATTTATATCTTTAGGGCTTCGGGTTTTTGGGTTGAAGGTGTCGAAAATACGACAAAATGCACGGTCTGGTACTAACCGATTCCAAAATTCAGATGGCAAACAACTACCATCAAAATTAGCGCTCGCCTTGCATCGGGGTTGCGATACCAAGGGATCCTACTACAGCAGGGGTTTACAAACTCAGGTCGCTCCGGACCCTGACACCCCCAACCCGAAGTGTGAACGCCTCGAACGCCCAAGCCTAACCCAAAGCAACCCTAAACCGTAAACCCTGAACCCTAAACCCTGAACCCTAAAACCCTAAAACCCTAAAACCCTAAAACCCTAAACCCTGAACCCTGAACCCTACGGCCTAAACCCTGAACCCTAAACCCGAAAGCCTAAACCCTGAACCCTACATCCAAAAGCGTCTAAACGCCACACCCCCGGTCCAAAAAACCCTTTGCTTTGCAAACAAGGATCCGGCGATGGAAGGTCTATGTTCAGGCCCCTAAACCCTCCCTTGGGGTCTGGGTTTAGGGTTTATGGTTTAGGGTTTAGGGTTTGGGGCTTGGGGTTTAGGGTTTAGGGTTTAGGGTTTAGGGTTAGTCACATGTTTCTGCTTTTGACGGGGACCCAGGCATGCAAACAAGCAAAAAAACACAAGGTTCGGATATGCCACGATCCCAACTACCTCCTGTTGCTTAGGTCAGCCAATACAGTAGGGATGTCCGCCGCGCAAGTTCTGCGTGCGTGCCATTCTCCGTTCTTACACTAAGAGAAAAAGACTTAAACGAAACTTTGCCATTGAGCCCTGGAGCCTAAACCCTAAACCCTAAACCCTCTCAATCCAAAAGCCTTCAAAAAGAGAAGTCGAGAGTCCCAGGGGGAGTCCTGTGTCCGGGTGGATGGGAGCCAGACGGTCGAAGCAAGCATCCTGGGAGACCTCGCAGGAGGGGGGGTGTTCGGGCTTGGGACTTTAGGATTTTAAGGTCTTGTTTTAAGGGGTTTAGGATTTTCGGGCTTGGGGTTTAGGGTCTTAGAGCTTTAGGGCTCTGGGGCTGTAGGGTTTGGGTTTCAGGGCTGTTGTTGAGGAGGTTGCTGACGGTACTTTAAGGCTTGTCAGGGTTCTGGTGGAGCTTAGAGCTTGGAGGGCCGAGAATACATATATATATATCTATATATATGTATGTCTCTATAGACATGTGGAGACATGTGTATGTATATTTCTGTATGTATTCATATAGGTGTGCGTGTATGTATGTATGTATGTATGTATGTATGTATGTATGTATGTATGTATGTATGTATGTATACGTTTGTATATATGTGTGTATGTAGATGTATGTGTGTATATATATATATATATATATATCCATGTGTATGTGTATATACATACATGTTTCTAGACATAGACATGTAAATACATATATACATATACACACACATACATGCATACATGCATACATACATATATATATATATATATGTGTGTGTGTGTGCGCATATACGTATGTGTGAACATCGGAAAGGTGCTATGGGTAGTTTATAGGGACGACAGGGGATGATAGGGAGTCGTCAGGATTTCATATAGGGCATTTTAAAACGTTGCATAAGCATCCTTTCGGATCCTTTCAGGCTTCGCACGGGCCGTAGTGTAGGGGCCTTAATAATTCGAATAGGGCTTTGGGGCCCAGTATACTATAGTTATAACAAGGAACCCCCAAAAATAGTGTAGGTCATTATTTAGACCCTTATATTAATACCTTGTCATCAAGGTTTCATAGACGAGTTGCTGGCCTCTAGAGAGGCTTTGTTTCAATTCGGTTTGCTGGGGTTCCAGGGTTCTGCATGCTGCAAGCTTGTACGAGGCCTCCGTGGCGGTCGATGGCTTACAATTCAGACCTTGGGCCCTAAACCCTAAACCCTAAACCGGCCCTAAACCCTAAACCCTAGACCATAACACCCAAGACCCTAAACCCTATGGATTTGGGGATTTGTGGCTTAGGGGATTTTGGTGAAGGGGCATGCCGACTTCAGGGCCGGGGTGCTTAGGTAGGTCTAGGGGTTCAGAGTTTAGGGTTTGGGGTTTAGGGTTTAGTGGCTTAGTGGTTTAGGGTTTAGGGTTTAGGTTTAGGGTTTAGGTTTAGGGTTTAGGGTTTAGGGTTTAGGGTTTAGGGTTTAGTGGGTTTAGTGGGTTTAGTGGTTTTAGTGGTTTTAGTGGCTTAGCGGTTTAGGTTTAGGGTTTAGGGTTTAGTGGTTTTAGTGGTTTTAGTAGCTTAGTGGTTTAGGTTTAGGGTGTAGGGTTTACGGTTTAGGGTTTAGGGTATAGGGTGATGGGTATAAGTAACACTGCAAAGCGGGGCGACTAGAGTTGCAAGTGGCATTCAAACCAATCAAGTGCCTATGATGTTCTGTACTGCAACCGCAAATAGACCCTCAACCCTACTTCCCATGATATCCACCACTATAATGTAGGGGCCTGAATAATTTTAATAGGGCTTTGTCTTGTCCTTACTATAACTATAGAATACTGTACCCCCCCACCCTATCCAAAGTATTAAGGCCCTGTACAAGAGGTCTGAAACTGTACTGGTCACGTTCCTTGTGGTCCCTGTATGATTATGCGGTAACACCTATTCTAACTACTCAATGTCTGTATTGAACCCTACGCCCTATCGTGTTAAGTGTTTGTTCAAAAGCAGCCTAAAGAGCCCTTGTGCAACTGTTCTTTGAAGCCCAAGTTCCTTCAAAAGTGAGCTCAACCCCCCCGACGCCCTGAAAAAAATTATGAACTGAACCAGAGCCACTCCAGACACTCCCAAACCGCCCAAACCCCAAAACCCGACAGCCCCGAAACCTAAACCCTAAACCCTAAACCCTAAACCCTGAACCCTAACCCAAGGCCTGGATCTTTCCGACCCCCCAACTCTCCGGCCGACCGTTGCGGAATCTCTCCCTCGGCGAGGAAAAGCCCAAAAAAACCCTACAGTGCCCTATAAACCCTATGATGCCCTATAAACCCTATAATGCCCTATAAGCCCTATAATGCCCTATAAACCCTATAATGCCACAAAAACCCTATAAGCCCTATAAACCCTAAACCCTATCATCCCTACAAGCCCTATAAGCCCAGGACAAGGCTTTTCCGGCTCAGGGCTTGGTGGACAAGTCTGGGAATTCGGGGGGCTCGAAGGCGTAAAGGCCTGAACCCTAAACCCTAAACCCTAAACCCTAAACCCTAAACCCTAAACCCTGAGGGCTTCAAGGCTTCAGGCCCAGGGTTCGAGTTTCACGGAATTTGGGATATGGGTTTTAGGGTGTAGGGTTTAGGGCTGTAGGGTTGTAGGGTTCTGGGGCTGTAGGGCTGTAGGGTTGTAGGGTTGTAGGGTTGTAGGGTTTAGGGTTTATCTAGGCCCAGGGCTCACAGCAAGGCTCTAGGCCTGGGCTAGGATCGCTTTTTTTGCTTGGGGCCTACGGCCCTCAACGATTGAGGGCCGGTTGTTGAAAACCCTGCGACCTGGGGGTAAAGCCTGAACCCCTAGTATAGGGGCCTTCATAATTAGAATAGGGTTTTGGGGTTCTTTATAGTATAGTTACAATAAGGAAACCCCAAAAAGAATATAGGTAATTATTCAGGCCCCTATATTACAACCTGAAATGCCGAAACCGTGATGTTAACCGCCGTGGCCATGGCTCGGGTCAGATCTTGGCGACGACCATTGCAACATATCGCAACATTCAATATAACAAGAACAGTCATCACACTCTTCAATTTGACCAAAGCGCACGCAAAGCCACCACGGTCGGAGAAGGACACATAACATTGTCTGTCAAGCCCGTCCATTAAAATGACCCCTGTTAAACCTTGTACAACCCGTCAACGAGACCTGCCAGAAAACACTTCTGAAGGCTACAAAGAAACTACCACGGCCCTAAAACATAAACCCTTAACCGCGCACCTCAACCCTGCAGCACACACCCTCAACCCCGAAACATCCGAGAATTCTCACATCATAGTATGATGGTCATTACTACCGGTTCTTCTTATTGTTATTAGTGTTCTTCTTATTGGTATTACTACTGCTCTCCTCATTGTCATTACTGTTCTTCTTACTGTTATTACTACTGTTCCTCTCATTGTTATTACCGTTCTGCCTCTTAGAAAACGAAAAATGCTACTAGCAAACTTCCGAGCATCCTGGGCAGCTGCAGTCGATCCGCCACCTCGTCCGAAAGCTCCGACGATCCCGCGCCGAATCGCTCCACCCAGGTCTCGGCTTCTTGATCGCGTGGGCTTCAATCTATCAATATATATATATATATATGTATATATATGTACATATATATATATATATTTAGATATACATATATATTTAGATATACATATTATATATATATATATCAATATGCACTTACTGTATACAAATACAGGGTTTAGGGTGTAGGGATTAGGGTTGCGGGTTTAGGGTTCGGTTTGGGGTTCTGGATTTACACGAGCTTCAGATGAGGATTTTTTCTTGGCATGTACATGGGTCGATGGTTCGATCAAGGGTTCTGCCAGTACGAGGCTTTGCCCTGCGGGTTTGGGCATGGGGCTTGGGGTTTTTGGAGATTCCTCCTAAAACCTAAACCCTAAACCCTTAAACCCTAAACCCCAAACCATAAGACTTGATTTTTCAATCTTAAGGAAAACCCGAGGCTCGTGTGAGAAGATGTTTGAGACGGTGCAGCAAATAACGCATCCCTCTGCGTGGCGCTCGCGGACCAGTCGAATCCAGTGGCAGCACCAGCCTTGGGGAAAAGATTCGAGTTCAGGGTGTTGGTTCTGGGCTTAGGGTTCATCGGGAGCAACACGCATGACGACTAAGAGTATGCTTAAAACCGCAATATCATACCGCAAGAAAAGCCACTTCGACACGGAGAACCCCATCGGTATGGAAACCGACAACAGAATCACATGCGCCGTCGCAATGGAATGCAACGTAGAAGAAACAGATGTTGAATGGCGAAACGGGCCAGGTGCACGACGAACATTGCAAGCGGCAGACAAAAGGTGGCCGTCACAGTGGTGGCCGGACGTCATCGTAACAGTAGCAGTTGTAACAGCAGCAGCAGCAGCAGAAGTAGTAGTAGTAGTAGTCGTCGTCGTCGTCGTCGTCGTCGTAGTCGTAGTCGTAGTCGTAGTCGTAGTGGTAGGAGTAGGAGTAGGACGAGGAGGAGGAGGAGGAGGGGGAGGAAGGAGGAGGGAGGAGGAGGGAGCAGGAGGGAGGAGAGGTAGTGGTGGCAGCTGTTGTCGATTTGTTATTGCAGTGATGGTAGTTGTAGCAGCGGCACTAGCACAAAAGCGCAAGAAGTGGTGGCAGCGTCGTCCTCGTAGTAATAGCAGCGGCAATAGCCAAGCAGCAGTAGCCGGGGCAGCTGCTGTTGGTGGTCGCAGTCGCAGTCGTAGTCGTCGTAGTAGTGGTGTAAGTGCTGGTGCTAGTGCTGGCGCTAAAACAGTTGTAGTTGTAGCTGTTGTTCCTGTTGGTCGTTGTTGCTGCCGCTGACGCGGGTGTTAATGCTGTGCAAGTGTTGCTGCAGTCAACCCTGCTAATGAGCTGATGCTTCCGCTGCAGGTGTTACGACTGTCGTTTCGGTTCTCGCCAGCCTGGCTGTCCTCTGCTACTCGCTCGCTTCCTTGTCTGCGACGCAGATCAGCTACACAACAAGACCTGCAAGAAGAAACCCAGAAAAAGACGGTATCCACAACCCTAAACCCCCCAAACCCTGAACCCTGAACCGCGAAATCCTGCACCCTAGGCCTTAGACATTCTTGAATCGTGTACCCACGTCAACCTTTAACCCCAATTAGCGCCCGGCCGCAGGGAAAGCGTTCGCCGACTTTGGGCTCACGACGGTGGGTCCGCGACTCCACCAGGGCCTCCCACTTCCCATCGCGCTCGCCCGGCGGTGGCACCGGGACGTTGTCCCTTCGGAGCTTGGGAGATTCTGGCTCAAAGGGGTAGGGTTTCGGGCCTTTTATTAAAGGAAACTACAGGTGGGG